TACAAGAGTCATTTGGAAACCCAAATAGACATGACCTGAACAGAACCTATCCTTGATATATTAGAGTTAGATGGCAAGAAGTACAGAACAAAGAACATTAAAAGCATTAAACGAGTAGAGCAAGTAATGTTTAAAGATAAACCCACCAGAACAACAACAACATATTTCTTGGAGAAAATATTAAAGAATAAGAGAGAATGGAATGATTTATTTGGTGTCCTAAAAGAAAATAACTTTGAACCTAGATTATTTACACAGGTAAGTTGCCCTTCAGAATGGATGGAGAAATAAAGATCTTCCATAACAAGCATAAACTAAGAGATTTCATGACCGTTTAACCAGAATTACAGAGACTACTTAAAGGAATCCTATACCCAGAAGAGGATGAAAGATAAACACAGTCATGAAAGAAAAAAAAGAAATGTCACTAGAAGTATACAGAAACAAATGGGAATTACGAAAGAACCAAACAGCATTTATACAGAAAATCATCAAATATCTAAGATGAATAACAGACAAGAAACAAACAATGTTCAAAACAACCAGAGGGAAAACAACAAAATGATAGGAACAATTACATAGCTTTCAATCATACTTTAAATGTAAATGGCCTTAATCCTCCAATTAAAAAACTGGCTGGTTGAATTAAAAAACAAGACTCAGTTATATGTAAGAAATTTAGGACACTGGTGTAGACATACACAGATGTGAAAATGAAAGGATTAAAAATGATATTCCAAGCAAATGAAATACAAAAGCAAGCAGGAATAGCTATACTCATATCTTACAAAACAGACTTTAAGCTAAAATCAATTACAAGAGACAAAGAAGTCCACTACATATTGATGAAAGAAACAATTTATCAAGAAGTTATAATGAATATGAATACATACACATCAAAAGTTGGAGCCCCGATTTCATAAAACAAAACCTACTGGACATTCTTTTAGGGAGAAATAGGTCCCAATACAATAATGGTGGCTAACGTCAATGGACATCATTAACACAAAAATCAAGTATATCAGAGTTAAATTACAATATAGATTAAATGAACTTACCCAACAATTGCAAAATATTCCATACAATAGCTTCAGAAGACACATTGTTTTCATGTGCACATGGAATAGTTTCCAAAATCTATCATGTATTGGCTATAAAGCAAGTCTTAACAAATTCAAAACAATTAAAATATTTCTTGCATCTTATCAGAATGGAATGAAACTAGAAATCAACAATGACAGAGACTTTAGGAATTATAAAAACACAAGGAGATTGAACAACAAATTTTCAAAGGAACAGTGAGTCACTGAATATCAGGTTGGAAATTTAAAATTTTTAGACTCAATGTAAATGGAAACACAATATACCCAAATCTGTGGGATATAGAAAATGTAATACTAAAAGGAAAGCTTATAACTATGAGTTCCTAAATTTAAAAAAGTAGAAAGATCTCAAATAAATAACCTAATGATGCATCTCAAGATCCTTAAAAAAACAGAACTAAATCCAAAATCAGTAGAAGGGGAAAAAATCATAAAAATTGGGCAGAAATAAATGAAGACTGAAAGTAACAATGCAACGGATCAATGAAACAAATAGTTGGTTCTTTAGAAAGATAAAACAAAATTGTCAAACTCTTAACTAAACTAACCAAAAGAGAAAGAAGATGAAAAAACAAATAAATAAAATTATAGATAAAAATGGAGATATTACAACAGATAACACTGAAATTAATAGGATCATTAGGGAATATTTTGAAATACTAAATGCCAATAAACAGGAAAATCTAGAAGGAATAGACAAATTTTTAGACATAAGTACAAAAGTGAATCAAAAGAATACAAAAAACTATATGAATGAATGATATTCAATGAGAATAAAGCAGTAATAAAAGTCTCTAATAAATAAAAGTGCAGGATCAAATGGATTCACTACTGAATTTTACCAGAATTTTAAAAACCTAATACCAATGTTCCTCAAACTGTTTTATGTGAAGAAGAAGAAGAAGAAGAAGAAGAAGAAGAAGAAGGAGAAAGGAGGAGGAGGAGGAAGTCTTTTAAACTCATTCTACATAGTCAATATTACATTATTACCAAAATCTGATAAGAGTACAACAGAAAATCTGTAGCCAATTTCCTTGGTAACTATACATTTTTAAATCCTCAATAAAATTTTCACAAATTTCATTCAATGGCACTTTTAAAATTATCACTTTGTTTTCACTCCATGGATGCAAGTACAGTTCACCATATACAAATCAATAAGCATGATACAACATATAACTAAAATCAAGAATAAAAATCACATAATCATCATTTCAATCGATGCATAAAACACCTTTAATAAATTTCAGCATGGCTTCATGAAAAAAAAATATCCCTGAATAGATTAGGTACAGATGGATCATATAAAGGCTATATATGACAAACTCATAGTCAACATCATACTCCATGGGGAAAAACTGAAACATTTCCTCTAAGTCAGAAATGAGACAAGGGTGTCCATTCTCACCACTCTTATTTAATATATTTGAAATTTTAGCCAGAGAAATAAATAAAAGGAATATAAATTGGAAATGACACAGTCAAATTATCCCTGTTTACAAGTAATAGGATTCTATGTTAGAAAACCCTAAAGACTCCATCAAAAAACTCTAAGTTGATAAGAAATTAAGCAAAGTAGCAGGATACAAAATTAAGTAGCCTTTCTATGCACCAATAATGAACTCACTGAGAAATCAGGAAAGCAATACCATTCATTATAGCCTAAAAGAGATACCTAGGAGTAAACCCCACCATCGAGAGGAAAGACCTCTGTTGTTAGTTTTTTTGTTTGTTTGTTTACTGGAACAGATGCCAGGTAAGAACAAGTTAAAGGAAGAAAGATTTATTTTAGCTCATGGTTTCAGAGGATTCAGTCCATGGTCAGCTGGCCCCAACAGAAACAGGAAAGCTGCTCAGCAAATAACAGTTAGAAAGAAGAGACAGGAAGGGGTCAGGGAGAAGATAAAGTCTTACAGGACACACCCACCAAGGGACCTACTTTATCCAACTAGGTGTCAGTCCCTGTAGTTCTTTGTCATCAATGGATTAATTTACTGATGAGGTCACAGCTCTCATGATCCAAACACTTCCCTAAAGCCCCACCTCTGAATATTGAAGCATTGGTGACACATGAGATTTGGGGGGACATTTCAGAGCCAAACCATAATAACTTCTAGAATGAAAATTTAAAAACACTGAAGGAAGAAATTGAAGAAGATACTTTAAAAAAAAGAAAAAAGAAAAGATCTCCCATGTTTGGGAACATTAAAATTGCTTTAATACCCATACTACCAAAATTGACACACAGATTCAACACACTCCCAATCAAAATACTAATGCCATACTAATGTCATTCTTCACAGAACTAGAAAATCAACCTGAAATTCATATGGAAGCACAAAAGAGCTTAAATTGCCAAAACAATTCTAAGAAAAAGAACAACCCAGGAAGCATCACAATAACCAATTTTGAAATATGCTACCAAGCCATAATAACCAAAATGGCATGGCATTCTCATGAAAGTAGACACATAGACTATAAGAGAATAGAAGTCCCAGGAATATACCCGTGCATCTATACCAATTGATTCTTGACAGGCGAACCAACCTATAGGAGGAAAGACATGCTCCTCAACAAATGGTGCTGGGAATATATGATATCCACATGTGGAAGGTTGAAACTAGCCATCCCTTTCTCACTCTGTACAAAATTCAACTCAAAGGGGGATCAAAGACCTCAATATAATAACTGAAACTTCAAAAGTACTAGAAGAAAACACAGGGGAAACACTTTGAGAAGTGACACAAATGACAGTTACCTAAATAAGGCCCAATAGCTCTGGAAACAAAAGCCAGGGTTGATGAGTGGGATGACATCAAATTTAATGCCCCCCCGCCCTGCACTACAACAGAAATGCTCAACAGAGTGAAGAGAAAATCTACAAATGGGAGAAAATCTTTGCCAGTCATTCATCTGACAGGAGAATAACAACTGAATACAGAGGGCACTACAAAAAACAAAAGAACAAGTAACCAATCCAAAAGCAGGCAGATAATCTGAATGGACACTTCTCAGAAGAACTACAAAGGACCAATAGATATATAAAAATGCTCAATTGCCTTATACATCAGAGAAATGCACATCAAAACTACATTGAGATTCCACCTCATCCTAGTCATTGGGTGAGGTAGAATTATCATTGCCATTACCAGCAGCAGCAGTAGCAGCACGACATATTCCAGCAAGGATGTGGAGTAAAGGAGTCCTTACACACTCATTGTTAGAATGTAAATTAGTACAGCCTCTGTAGAAAATAGAATGGAAGTTCCTTAAAACACTAAAAGTGGAACTACAATATGATCCAGCTATAATACCCTTGGAGATATATATATATATATGAAGGAAACAAACTCAGCACCCTAGGGAAATACTCATGTTCACGTTTATTGTGGTACTATTAACAACAGCCAAGATATGGAATCAGCCTATGTGCCATCAACAGGTGAATGATAAGGAAAATATGGAATATGCACAATGGAGTATTTCTCAGTCATAAAGAATAAAATCACTTCTTTTGTAGGAAAATGGATAGAATTGTATGACATCATGACAAAAAATAAGCCAGACACACTAAGACAAGTATTACATGTTCTCATTCCTAAGTGGAAAATAATAATAGTCGTCATCATCATCATCATCATCTAGAACTAGAAAGTAGAGGAGGGACCATTAAAGAAGGAGAAAAGGAACTTGAGGGGGGAAGATGAAAGTGGAGAGAAAGAGAGGGTAGAAAGAAGGGTGGGCATTATTAAAGAACAATATATGCACATATACAAACATCAGAGCCCAACCCACCAATTGTGTAATTAATATGCATGAACAAGTATATTTTTAAAATCTTTTTTAAAAGATGTTGCTACTATTACTGGTATGTCCCTGCAACGTTAGTATACTCACCTAAATATAGCTGCCATCTTCCAGCTGATTTCTTCTCAACATCAAGTGGGAGGGAGTATTTTAGTCTGAGGAGTTTCTATAATAAAATAACATAGATTGTGTGGCTTAGGCAACAGAAATTATTTATTTATCACAGTCTTAAAGGCTGGAAGTCCAACATTAGGGTCATATTCAGATAAGGGCTCTCTTCCTGGCTTACAGGTGGCACCTTCCTGTGCCCTCAATGGCCTTTCCTCTATACCAGTACACAGAGAGATAAACAATGAGCTCTCTGCTACCTCTTTTTTAAGGAAAGGGTCCTACTTTTATAACTTTATTTAACCTTAACTTCTGCGATGATCATATATTCAAATACAGTCACATTGGGGATTAGGGCTTCAGCATATAGATTTGCGGTTGGGGGACTCAAACAATAAGTGGAAATAGCTAGGCGCATCAGAGGATTGCAAATAATTCAGATTGTTGGAGCAGAGATTGCAGGGACAGAGGCCCTAAAGGAAATGTAGTAGTAGCAAGAGCTGAGAGGTGGTGATAAATAGGAATTCCAGATGCCTTGCTAAGAAGTTCCAACTTTGAACTTTGGCTAGCCTTATCCAGGGCACTATTGCCTTCGGTGTTGGTTGCTGCAAAAGCCACCTAAGGTGCAGGAAGTGAGAAATTTATTAAATCCATGGCCAGGCTTTGCTGGAAACATGAGAACACAGAAAGCCAGGAAATCAACCTTGTTGTCAAGAGAGCAATACAAAGTTGGGCCACAGAGACCTTGGCTAAAGAATGTGATGGAAGCAGTGGAAGGCCAAGGAATGGAGGTCTCCACAAAATCGTAAGGTGTGAGTAGTGAGAACACCTGTACAATAGAGGCAAAAGGAAATAAGCTCAGGAAGCAAGACATTCTCAAATGCAAATATGATTTAAGTCAGAGTAGCTGTTGTCCTGGGTAGCTGAAGTGGGATGGCGGGGAAAGTCATTAACACGCGAGGCCACAGTAGTGGAAATTAAACTCTATGAAGTGCCTACTATGGAATGAGCTCTGTGCTGAATATTTTATATAGATTATCTCATTTAACCCTAACAATAGTCCCATGGTCTAGCATTGCCATAATCCACTTTTTATAGTCAACTAAATTAAGGCTCAAAGAGAACTCATCCTAGGTCATTCAGGAATGGTGGATCAGAGATTCAAACCCAGCCAGCCTTTCCTCCAGTCCTGAATTTTCCATTATTGTAGGATGCATCTCCCCAAGGGACCTAGGTGTGAGGTGGGTGGTCCATAGGCACACTGAACCACTGTGGGCTAATGGAAACCTGGTTAGGTGTTTCAAAACTGAGAGTCTGGTGCCAACCTACTTAATCAGTGGGTGAGAGTGAGCAAGCTAGGGTGTAAGATTAAGTAGGGGCAGGAGCAGAGAATAGCTAAATATAGTGCAAACTTCAAAGAACACTTGAAAGTGCTATGATTCAATAAAAGTATCTGTAGTTGAGCAGTTGGCTGGATTTCCAGCCCACACAGAGTGCCGGGATTGCTTACTAGTGAGCAACAGCAAATAGGGCAGAACACAAAGAAGTTCCCTGCCCCAGTTGTGAGGCTTCCCAAATCTGTTCTCATTTGCTGAAATGCCTGTCACTGGGGAACACTTCTTTGAAAAAACTGGGGAAAACACTCATCTTTTGTTCACCATTACCTCCCGGCATCAAGGAATTTCTGACAGCCCTGAAAAGAGATGGGTCACAGGGAGAGAGCATGGCAAGGTGATGTGTGTGTGTGTGTGGTGGGGGGGGATTCCACTCATTTATTAACATGTTGCCTTCAGGTTCCCAAATTTGCTCAGTCTAAACAGGTTTCCATTATTCCATGTGCCTGCAAATCACCTGTCTTCTTGGGGAGGTGACAGTCCTCAGAATGGGAAGAAAACCTACCTTGGTTTGACCCTCTGGTCCCTACCCCACTGTGTGCCCTAGGCAAGGGATGGGGAAGTAGCAATGTCACTGAAAACAAGTTCCACCAAAATTTCCTACTTCAGATCCTTTGGGGAGGCATTAGGGTTTACAGAAAAGCAAATGGAACTTAAGTTTTCCAAATTTTGGAAAGGTTCAGATCTGTTGACATTTTAGGTTTTCTATTTTAATCAACACTTTAATTGGATGTGCTATCTTTTCAAAGTAGCTATTCCTGTATAAAGTATCCTACTAAGGCACTGTTAAATACACACAAAAATTTCCACAAATGCCTCCATTGATGAGCATCTTGCTTTTCCTGTGTTTTAGGTGATTCATGGTTGGTTTAAATTACAACAGTTCTACTTTCTCTTTCTGTAGCCTTGGAGAAGCGACAATTTCTCTGAATGTTTTCTAACCCAAGAAAGGGAATACTTCTTAGGGTTGTATTGAGGATTAAGTGAGATAACATAAAAAGTATGTAATAGAGTGAGAGGCACATTCTTGTTCTGTAAATGCCAGCTGTGAATGCTAACTGCTATAGTTTTTTTGTCCTTTGTAAAAATAATTAATTTGAAAAAGAGTAAAGTTCTCCGAAATACCTGAATTTCATTGCACCCCCTCCTCATTTATTTTCTTATTTATTCAAACCAATGAACTTTGCTCACGTAAGTCTTTGGATCTCAAGTAGTGCTTTAAAGGATGATCTTCAAATGACCTTCATATAACATATTCTTGAAGGAGTTTAGGATGTGCCACTTCAAAAATCCAGCTTTGGGATATTGAATATTTTGAGGTGAAGGCACTGGAAAAATCAGCAAATGCAGGGGAGGATTCCTTTGAACTTCTCTTATCTGCTTAAAGACAGATCCTTCAAAAAGAACTCCATTGGCATAAATCCTCTCCCCCGAGTTTCATCAACCAGAGGGGATTGGCTCTTCTCAGGAGCGGAGATTGAAACTTGCCACCACACCCAGGCAAACTGTCTCAAGCTATCATCTTTTTTACCTGTTCTTCTGAGAGCCCATTGATCTTTCCTGAGAATCACTTTCTGTCCCTTACCTGTCCTGCATCACCTCTCCCCTTTCCCTATTAAGACAGTATAATTGCTGTCCAATCTCACTGCCTTTTCTTTGGTGATTGAGCACTCATTTTTGTTTCTGAGATGCCCATGTGCATCTAATTTTGAAATAATGGTAAATTCACTTTTTCTCCTACTAATCTGCCCATTTTATAAACCCAATTATTGAACCTAGGAGGCAAAGTCTTTCCTCATGTTCTTTAATCATCAGATTCACTGCCATCAGCAGCAGCAGAATATCTGGAAGACTAATTTCAGAAGCATTATACCTTGTGAGGGAAGAAAAGTAAGTGTTAACAGGCATTTCCAGGTAAGGCAATACTAATGTTCTTCATTGAATAACATTTTCCATCCTGACCCACATCTTGAAAACAGCTTTCTACTAATAGACCAGTAGTTTTGAGTGATTCTTTAAAGAACATTTTTATTTCTATTTTCTTCCTTTATTCACATAGTTGGTGAATCAGCTGGAGTGAGACTCAGAACACATACATAAAATCTAGATAATGATGGCTTAAGTTCATAAGAATTTACATTTTTATCTTATGTAAAGAAGTCCAGAGCTAGGTAATCCAGGGCTTATATTGTGTTTTCTTATCATGGAGGACTCAGGCTCCTTTCTATTTCTACTTTATTAGAGGACTTTCATCCTCAGGTTCAGCTCATGGTATTAATGACGCTTGGTTCAAGATGGCTGCCAGGATTCCTGCCATCATACCTAAATTCTAGTCAGCAGCCAAGAAGAGGGAAGGAAGGACATAGGGTTTCATGCCAACTCTCTGCTTTCCTTTTAACTAGAATTCCTAGAAATGCCACCTATTAAATTATCCTTGAATCTCATTTGCCATCTCTAATTGAAGAAAAACTTGGAAAGTATTTTAATTTTTATTTTTAATCTGGGCTGTTGGCCAGAAGAAAATCAGTTTTCTTTCCTGAGAAAGGAGAAAAAAAAAAGTTAAGTAGAAGTTTCTGGCCACAACTTATTGTCCATATTTTTTTTGTTGTTGTTCTTTTTAGTTATACATGACAGTAGAGTCTAATTTGACATATTTATACAAACATGAATTATACCTTATTCTTATTAGGATTCTAGTCTTGTGGATGTACCTGAGGCTGAGATTCACTATGGTGTATTCATATATGTATATAGTTAGGTCAGATTCATCACAATGTCTTTCCTACCCCTATTCTTCCTCCCTTCCCTCCATTGACCTTTGTCTATTCCTCTGAACTTCTATTCTTTCCCTGCCCCTTTTTTTGTGTGTTGGCATCTACTTATCAGACAGAACATTTGACCTTTGGTTTTTCTGGATTGGCTTCTTTCACTTAGCATAGGAAATTTAGATAACCAATCTATGTTCATTCTCTCATTTCCCTGCTTTAAGAACGCTTTTCCCAGATGCCATTCCATAGGAAAAAATAAACTGTTTCCCTCTGCTCTCTCACCATTATCAACACAGAAGCTTTCTGTGATCTCAAAAGGTGTGGAGGCTTCTCCACATCAATGGGCAGGCCAGCTATTCTGCAGCAGACACCAGCTGAGTGTCCTCTAATCCAGTTCATTTCTGACACTATCTACCTGGAGAGAGTCAAATCTGACAAGTTGAAGGCTCAGCCCTCAAGACTAACTCTAGTTCCCTTCAGCTGCAAGTTGCAGTCACAAGTTTGCTTTAGCTGTGCTTCTGACCAGTGAGGTTTAAGCTAGACTTCTCACAACCCCTTTCTTAAGTTCAATTAACTTGCTTGAGCAGCTTGCAGAACTTGGAGTAACACCTAAGTGTACTGGTTTATGATGAGATATTTTAAGGATACAAATACCTTGCACAGGGAAAGGTATGAGGAAGGGGGAGCTGAGCACCCAGGCTCTCTCCAGTGTGCCATTTTCAGTGTCCAGGCTCCCTGGACCCTATCCTTACGTAGGCATGATTGATTAAATCTTTGGACCTTGGTAATCGACTCAACATTCAATGTCTCTCCCTTCCCCAGAGGTTGCAAATGGAAATGAAAGTGCCAACCCTCTAAATTGTGCTGGCCTTTCTGGTGATCAGTTCCCATCCTGA